AAGAGTCGAGACCGCTTAGGTCAAAGATCGAGAATCGAGACCGTTGATGTCGAGAATCGAGAATCGAGACCGTTCAGGTCGAGAACTGAGAGTTGAGACTGTTCAGGTCGAAAACCGAGAGTTGAGACCGTTCAGGTCAAAAACTTAGAGTTGAGACCATTGAGGTCGAGAGCCGAGAGTTGAGACCGTCGATGTCGAGAATCGAGAGTCGAGACCGTTGAGGTCGAAGATCAAGAGTCGAGACCATTGAGGTGGAAGATCGAGAGTCGAGACCGTTTAGGTCGAAGGTCGAGAGTCGAGACCGTTGAGGTCGAAGATCGAGAGTCGAGACCGTTTAGGTCAAAGATCGAGAATCAAGACCGTTAAGGTCGAAGATCGAGAGTCGAGACCGTTTAGGTGGAAGATCGAGAGTCGAGACCGTTTAGGTCGAAGGTCGAGAGTCGAGACCGTTGAGGTCGAAGATCGAGAATCGAGACCGTTGAGGTCGAAGATCGAGAGTCGAGACCGTTGAGGTCGAAGGCCAAGAGTCGAGACCGCTTAGGTCAAAGATCGAGAATCGAGACCGTTGATGTCGAGAATCGAGAATCGAGACCGTTCAGGTCGAGAACCGAGAGTTGAGACTGTTCAGGTCGAAAACCGAGAGTTGAGACCGTTCAGGTCGAAAACTAAGAGTTGAGACCATTGAGGTCGAGAGCCGAGAGTTGAGACCGTCGATGTCGAGAATCGAGAGTCGAGACCGTTGAGGTAGAAGATCAAGAGTCGAGACCATTGAGGTGGAAGATCGAGAGTCGAGACCGTTTAGGTCGAAGGTCGAGAGTCGAGACCGTTGAGGTCGAAGATTGAGAGTCGAGACCGTTTAGGTCAAAGATCGAGAATCGAGACCGTTAAGGTCGAAGATCGAGAGTCGAGACCGTTTAGGTGGAAGATCGAGAGTCGAGACCGTTTAGGTCGAAGGTCGAGAGTCGAGACCGTTGAGGTCGAAGATCGAGAGTCGAGACCGTTTAGGTCAAAGATCGAGAATCGAGACCGTTAAGGTCGAAGATCGAGAGTCGAGACCGTTTAGGTGGAAGATCGAGAGTCGGGACCGTTTAGGTCGAAGGTCGAGAGTCGAGACCGTTGAGGTCGAAGATCGAGAGTCGAGACCGTTTAGGTCAAAGATCGAGAATCGAGACCGTTAAGGTCGAAGATCGAGAGTCGAAACCGTTTAGGTCAAAGACCGAGAGTCGAGACCGCTTAGGTCAAAGATCGAGAATCGAGACCGTTGATGTCGAGAATCGAGAGTCAAGACCGTTGAGGTCGAGATCGAGAGTCGAGACCGTTTAGGTCGAAGGTCGAGAGTCGAGACCGTTGAGGTCGAAGG